TATTTTTCTTACATATGAAATAATTCTATTAACAGTATGAGCAATAGTCATAAATGTTTTCAGTTATGATTAGTTGAAGTATTGTCAATACTATAATTTCACAAGGGTGACAAAAATGAATTATTATGAGAAGAGTATTCAGTAATCAGGAGTTATAATTCTTGGAGGAGTAATAGGTGAAAAGGAATTATTTTTCATAAGTGAAGCATTTCAATAAGAAACTACAAATTGTTTCTATCTTCATTCTTTACAGAGATAACATGCATATTTCTCTAATCCAGTATTAACAAGTTTAGGTAGATTGGGTATAGATGTACAGTTAGAATTTTAGCATCCCAAACATGAGAACTGAGTTCAAATCTCACCATGGTCAATTTGTCTCAGTAGTGAATTCTTGATGATATTAGTCACACGGTGGGAAACTGAGTAGATGGAACCGTTTGGAAGCTGACAATGGTTGTGCTAAAACGAAGACTAGTCGTGACTAAGGGTTTGAGCAGACTGGCATTGTTTGAACAGCTGATCATGTCAGATTATGCGCTCTTTCCCAGAAACTGTAATTACAGCCTACTCAACATAGTTGCTATAGTCTGTGGGTACAGAAAAAACACTAATGTAACTGAGTAGGTGCCTGCCAAAGGGATTAACTAGCCACTCTAGCTGAGAGGATATGAGTGGTGAGCCATATCATATACTGCTCAAGGGGAAACTTTCTGGCCTTAAAAATTAAACATTGAAAATCTTGTTTTTTCTCCAATTATTGTCAATGGGGAATATGCAACTATCTCAACCACAAAGCAGGTTCAGTTCTTGTAGTAGTTTGGTAATTAGTTTTCTCCTCACTGGAAATCTACAATCAATCATGGAAAAGAGATTTATAACCATTTCAAGTTGACAGATTGTTTATTAATAGGCCTATAAATTGATAAATTTAGAAAGATTTTATGCTTTCTGATTGGACTATCTTATATGATTTACTAAAATGATTTATACAGGAGTGTGCTGAAAATTTCTCACTCCAACCCACTTTTGAAAATATCATCTAATGACCAAATAACTGATTTTTTTTTTTAAGATCCTCTTATTATGATTGAGAACATTTCAACACCCTGACCTTGTACATCTCATTACGCTAAATTAAATTTTAGATTTTTTTTTAATATCACCTTCTCCATAAATTTATCATTAAATATCTTGTGTGCTTTTCTGTGCTTTTTTGGTTCTCACGTAGCGACCTATATTCTCCATTGGTTCAAATGTTATCGTTCCAGAAAGAATTCCCCACTTTAGAATCAGACATGAAATGAATGTGCATGCGCTTCTAATCTTCTAATTTGTAGTATCTTTCCGTGGAAAGAAAATTATCTCTTTAGCTATCCATTTGGAAACTTCTTCCGTTGCAAGCCAATTATTTAAAGATAAAGCAGATTTTCCCAAAATTTTTAGTTGGCATTGTTGAGCATCAAATGACAACCTGATGTGTTTGAGTGCCAACACTTTTCTTAGCATTCGCTGCATAATGACATGCAACATGACTTGAAGCTTCTACCTTTTTTTTTTTTTAAATGTTACTTGTTCTACTTTTTCATTTATTAGTATTACTGTTATTAGCAGTAGCAGTATAGTGTTATTATTTTCTTCTCATTTTATGTATGAAAAATCCTCACTATCTTAAACATGTCCTCTGTTTCTTGGAAAAGAAAATCACTACTTTCATTATGATTTTCTTTTCTTTTATTAAGAAAGGAAGAATCTTTATCATAATCTTTACAAAATTTACCAACTTTTCCCTCTTTTAGGTGACAGAATTGGTTAGAGTTATTATTATTATTATCATCATCATTTTCATCTTTTCTCTTAGATGTTAGAAAGAGAATTTGCCCTGCAAACCAGTGACCTCAGAAGTGAAAGGTAATTGCGAGCAAGTAGTAAAAGAGAGCACAAATGAGGCAGGCAGATGTCACTGTCACTAAAGAACAGTTCCAAAGAGGATGTTACTCTTCTCATCTTTTTATTTTTACTGGCGTCTCATAGCAAATAATGACACGAAGGAAGCAGATAACCAAGACATTAAAGACATCTAATTCAAAGCAGCAGTCAATCCTGGCACTTTGAGGAGGTAAAGGCAAAAGCAAAGATATAAGCAGTTTCCCCCCTTGAAGACATATGTGAATATTCATAGAAGGTAAGGAAAGATGTGCACACTAACAGTAAATCAAAGGGAGAATGTGACTGGTAACTGAAGATGTGCAAATACTGAAATACTCATAAGTCTCTGTGTGAAAAAAAAAAAAAAATGGTAGTCAAGAATAATTAGAGAGAGAAAAAAAAGTGCTTGTTAAAATCTGAAAATATTATCTGCACATAGATTGTAATTCTTCAGATATGAATCCTGCCAGAAAAATCTGTTAGAATTTCCAGAGTAGATAACTGGAAGCCAGACTAGTTGGAAGGTTTATAGAATAAAAGCTATCAGGATGCGAGATCAAATGCATTCAAGAATGCCAATGATAACTCTTTCCAAGAAACAAAAATAATAATCGTTCAAGTAATTATTTCAATACAAAGATTATAAAAATTAATTTCAAAGAGTATGCCTGTAAATAATCAATATTTCAGCAACCAATCAAAGATAAATGTTCAAAAGATGGTTTAAATAAATGCTGAAATATCAAGATTTTTACCATTTATGCTTTGCTAATCAAATATTGCTTATTTTCTGGTATTATTTTTTATATGATTTTTTTTCTTAACCTAAATAACTGCCAGCAAGTTCAAATTAAATATCTATGTTATTTACAGCTGAACTAATGTTCTCACCTTTGTTGTTATTATTACAATGTTACAACCATTGTTGGAAAAGTTGGTTTACTAGATCAAGCTAGACATTTTTTCTCACCAGAAACTATCTATCTATATTTATAAGTCTACCATTTGGCCAAGCATTGAATATTGCCCCTACAACTGGTCTAGTGCTTCTACTATGTATTTAGAGATTCTTGACAAAATCCAAAGAAGAATCACCAATGTTACCAGTCCTGATCTGGCATCTCGTCTTCAGTCACTTCACCATCACCACAATATTACTTCCTGGGCTCTTCTCTATAAATATTTTCATGGCAATTGTTCTAATCAGCTTTGATCTTTGGTACCTCAACTTTACAAATTTAAGGGTAGTATTATATTGGCAGCAAGGTCTCAGCATTTTACAGTTGAAATAGGTAGATGTAACCATAAGTTCTATGCTAACAGTTTCTTCTCTCACACTTCTTGTTTGTGGAATGATCATCCAGTTTCTTGCTTTCCAGTCAACTTTGAACTTCAAAAATGTAAATACAATGTCAATTATTATCTTCTGTCTTCTTAATTCCTGTTCTTTTAATGTTCTCTCTCTATAATAATGTTTTTCTTTTCCTCATTTTCTTTCCTAGTCAGTAACCCCTTGCAGCTTAGTGGCTTTATTACCTTGCTTGGTGTGAAATGTTAACAGAGATACTAATACAGTTCTTAAGGCAATAGTTATTATCCAGTTTTTCCTGTAAAATGAATAAAGCATTTACACTATTTACTTTAGCAAAATATCAATGATGGAAACCCCATTGGTAGTTTGGCATCAAAACTCACCATTAGTGATGACAAGATGGATATCGCTCTAATCCTTTCTATAAAATAAATGGAATCCTTCAAATACTCTGGTGTCCTGCCAATAACAGTTTTAGAATGTCAGTCAATAATCAACTTAAGTGCTAGCACAATGAGCCAAGATTAATTATAAGTCTATTAGAGAATCCATACAAACTTGCTGTCTATATACTTTAGGTGTAAAATGATCTTTGTTCATTTTGTAGTATGTGATTTACAACTGAAATTACCAGGGTTTTGAATCCAATATCAATCAGGAATCTAAGAAGATTTGATCTATGATGACCCCAATACATACTGGTCTCAACAAAAGAGATAGTAAAGAAAGCTTTGTAGTCCGTGCCACATCAGGACATTAAAAGATCTAGGTGCCTCAGAATGTTGTCCAAGAAGCAACCAAGTGCAGAATTAAGTCTCAAAGGATGTCAGTGGCTATACCAAGATGAAACAGGAAGTCAAGTTAGCTGAACTTGGGATATACACATATGAAAACTGGTTAAATGCCCAACCCATGAGGGAGAAAATAGAGCCTATCACATCCTCGCAAGAGGTCCCTAAAATCAACATTAATTTGGAGTCCAGAAATAAATAAACAGTTATTTTATGTATGAAAAATTCAATTTTGTATTCTTACTTGTAACTGTTTCCATAATGTTACAATTTTTCAGGATCTGAAACATTTTTTCTTCATAGACAAAGTGGGATCTTTCTTGACTTGTTTTATATGTATCCAATTCAACTATTTTCATCAATTTTTCTTTATACACTTTTTTTATTCAAAATCTTTCTTCCTCTGTTAGAACAATATTTTTAAATCTGTTAGAACTTGTTATAAATACAAGTGATGATTTTTTTTCTTTCAAGTTAATATTTAGCCTGAATGATGTTCTTTTCTCAAAAAACCTGTCTCAATTTCCATCAAAATTCATGTACCTGACCTTTTGACAATTTTTAGGCCTCTAATGAGGTTATGAAATCCAAATAATGCATTTACTGATTGCTGACTATGAATTCAAAACTTTTTTTATGCACTGTTTCTTCAACATCTGATATTGACAACTACATTTGTTCATTAATCAAATAATATCAAAATATCAATAAAGTCAAATCATATTTTTTGATGGCTAAGATAACCTTCAATTTTTTTTAGACCTACATGTGTCTTTTATATAATAGTAAAAATAGAAATACAAATATTCCATGTTCTTTACAATACAAAGAGTAAAAAACATGTCAGTAATAGGATATTGTAAATAATAATTTTGTCAGTGGCTTTGTCAACAATATTCTGTATTTGAGCTAATTTGAATGAAAATAAATTTAAAAATTGGAAACTGATGAACAATGATAGCACTTACTATTTTCTAGGTCATCACCTGATTCTTCAGTTCCTGAAGATGATATATTTGCAGGGTCGTCACCTTAAAAACAAAAAAGACATAAATAGAAAGAGGATTTTCTAACTCATTTACATCTCTATCATTTATTATTTACTTGCATAAAAATTGTCTTTTGCATTTCTCAAAAAGATAATTGTAAAATAAATCTATTGGATCCAAACGGTCATCCAATTGAAAATTATATTTTATTATCAACCCCAAGGAAAAATGAAACTCCAAAGTTTTAACAAGATACAAAAGTAATGAGCTGGTTGTTTGGTTGATTTTTATGACATGTCAACACTAGAAAATTTTAGAAAGACCTTTTAAAACATTTCAATTTCTCATTAAAATATTTCTCTGTCATAGGAGGTTAATTTACTGAAAAATTGCATATTTTTGCAACTTTTAATGTACAGGTAAAATTTGTTCAAAAATTCCAAAGTGATTGGGGAGCTGAAACTTATAAGTCTGGGAAGACGGTCTATACATGAAGAAGATTTCAAACCTATTTTACTTTGCAGCCATCTTCTATGTGCTGTGTCCCTTCAGGACATTGGTGATCATGGCTCTCTACAATTTCCAGTCCTTTCTCACTCTTAATAAATTTTGTCTTTTCGTTATCTCTCCTAAACCTTGCTCCACCATCCATTTATTTAAGCTCATTAAGTTATGTATTATTTTCTGCTGTCCATCTTGCCTTCAATATATAATGTGTGTATCAAATTTTCCAAGTTCACTTTCCTTATTACGTGCCCAAGAGATTTCAACTATCTCTTCTTGATGTTAAGTATAAGATTTGTTTTCATTTTTGTTGTTCACATATTTGGTCCATCATATTCTCAACATCATTCTGTAGAACCATATCATAAAAAAAGCTCTCCAGAGTAGAATCTGGGGAAAAATCTAGCTGGAACCTCAAATGCAGTCCAATGTTGCATCCAACCTCATTCTAGCAACTCTTGCAAAGACACAAGTGCCAAACAATATCAGACCCTTCCATTCCATCGGACAACATCAGTGATATTTAAGAAGCCTGAATCCTGGAGAAGACACTACAGCATTGCCTCAGTACAACAACAAAATATGAACTGCCAGGTACAGATCCACTGCCTTTCAAGATGGACGGATGCCACACAGGCAAAATAAAAATATTTCTTTCAGCACCACCATATACAGAAAATTAAAAATGAGGATCAGCTGAAAAGTTCATGGGCTAACCAGATGATTAAATGAGGTTTATTTTTCAACATAGTCCTCCTTATGATCCACACACTTCTTCCATCAGGGTTGCAGTGCTTGTATCCCATTGGTGAAGAAGCTTTCATCCTGTTAGTTAAAAAAGCTATCAACAATAGATATGACATCACCATCACTGCAATACTGGTTTCCCAGACAAGTATTTTTTCATGTTGTAGAATAGATGATAGATGAGGCCAAATCAGGAGAATAGGGAGGGTGATCAACCAGTTCAAAGTCACAGTCATACATAGTAGCCATTGAAACAAAAGACTTATGTGCTTGAGCATTGTCTTGATAAAATAAAAACTCCTTTAGTCAGTTTTCTTGGGCATTTCATCTTTATAGCCCTTCATAACTGCCTCCAAAAGTTGGCATACTACTGTCTATTGATGGTGTGGCTCTTTGAAAATAGTCAATAAACAAAAGGCCTTATGCATCACAAAAAATTGAGGCCATCACCTTCCCAGCAGATGAAACAACCTTGGCCCTCTTTGTAACAGGTGAGGTGTGTTTCCACTGCATGCATTGTCTCTTTGACTCAAGCTCAAAATGATGAACCCAATGCTCATTTTAGGTTAGTTCAAGAAAAATATCTGGATCTGCCACAAACAAGGCCAGATTTTCCTATGATGTGATCAGCTTAGTGCACTTTTGATCAGCTGTCAGAAGCCATGACACCCAGCAAGAAGAAGCCCATGTCATGCCAAATTCATTGCACAGAATATTCTTGACTCTCTTATGGGATATGGTAATAGCATTGGTTATTTGATTTATAGTCAACCACTTATCACTCATCACCATGTGGTGAACACCATCAATGTTTTCCTTGATGGTGGCAATTGCTGGATGTCCAGACCCTGGGTCAATTTCAAGACTCCCTTCTACTCCTAAACCCAGCTGTCCACTTTTGGACTGTTGATAAATCTGGAGCATCATCTCTTAATGTAGCAACCATGTAAGCATGAATGTCTTTGAAAGCCTAAACCCTTTTTCTGCAGGTACTTGATAGCATGATACCAAATTTTGTTCATTTTCAAGTGAAGTTGCTACTTGTTACTTTTGAAGTTGCCTTTGAGCAGTCAGAAGTCAATATAGATGGAAAGAAACAATGCAGTTATTATATAAAAGTTAAAATTAATTCATGCAGGATTTCACAACTCTAGTAACACTCTTTCATAGTCAGCCTATGGACTTTTCAACCCATCCTTGTAAACTTAAAAATATTAAGATATCCTATATAAAGATTTGAATATGATTAATAACAAAGAAAACAGTAATTACATTCTTATTCTTTCTCTTTGTTCAAGTAGTACTAAAGATTAACAAAATTAGAAGGGAGTGTAATGGTTATCAATTTGAAAAATAAAATTGGCAATCCAAGTTCAAATTCTTGCCTAGTCTGTTGCATTTCCTTTTGACCCTGGAAAAAGGCACAAATTCATCTCATCTATGGACTAAATAACAAGGTAAACTGGACTATCAAGCCTTGGATAGCGACCACTGTAGGAAAAGGACAGTTCTGAATTCAAAAGTGATTAGTGAAGAATGTTTCCTTCCTTATATAAGAAATATACAAATGTCTGAATATTTGTAGCATTCAAAAATTTACCTAAACTGATTAAAATGAATGGACTGATCAAATTTGGAACTAAATTGATAACTTTTATGTCTAACTGAAAGAAAAAATATTATACCCTCAAGATTTGGTTTCCTGAAAAACAATGCTAAGGTGTTATATACTGCAGTGTGCAAATCACAAATAATTATTCATTATTTTAAGATAAACTTTAAAGAAAATATCTAAAATCTATGTTTGATAAGAACTGTAGCAAAATTGAATTATTTACACATCTTTTATTCATATTTTAACAATATTTCATCTTTCTGTAATGTATAATATAAAATCTTTGTTCTGTGAACAAAAATTTAACATTATAGTTATATAGGTTTTCCTTCATTCAAAATTCACATTTATCAGAGTAAAATTATGAACAAAAACCAAAAACAGAAAGCATCTTATAAATTGAATGTAAGCAATTGATAGTTATAACATAAATCATGAAAGTAATTCTCTAAGTCAAGACTATTTCATTGTTTTCTTTTTATTAATTCATTTTCTATGGCTTATCAAACTTTTGGGGGTTATTTAAAGCCAGAAAAAATATTTAGGTTGTAAGAATTTTATTTGGGGTGGTGGGGAGATAACAGTTTAGTGATACAAGTCTTACTAATTAACCCATAGTTGGAGTGAGAAAAGGTGGATTTCCAAGGGTACTTGCATGTAAGTGAATACAATGACCCCAATGGAAATTGGAACTTGACTCTCCGATTAACAATTCCAATCCATTACACCACTTGATATTCCCAGGTGGTTACCCATTGGTGTTTCAACATGTTGTGGTTGTAAGCCCAACTATTTGATCAACAAGCAAGAACTATAGATGACTATAGTCACCTATAGTTCATTTCTATATTTTTATATTTCTGTTCATTCACATTATCTTAAGTGATTAAATATCAATAATAAGAAATAAACACTTAACTCAGCTGAAGAGAGATGGGGGGGGATAGAATTACAAAGATCAGGAAAAGACAGCATAATAACAAGAGCAAAAATGCAGTCGATTCTTGATTCAAGGATTAGACGATAAAATTTGTAAAAATTATGAAATCCATAAAAGTTGTATATTCCTTCATTAAAATTGATTTTGAATTTTTCATTTGTCTTTAAAAAAAATCAAAACCAGACAAACAAAGCAATAATGTCATAAGATGCAAGTGATTACTGGGAGTGAAAGAGAATGAGAAGACTTTAGTGAGGAGAAGAAAGGACAATAAAAGAACAGATTTCAGGAAGACAAAAGGTACCAAGTGACATTGCATTTAAATTTTTGATTGTAAGTTGCAGGAAATCAAGAAACCAAAAGAGAATTCCACAGGTGAGAAGTGTGAGAAAAGAAACTATTTGAATGGAACATATGGTTACATCTAACTAGTTCAACAGTAAAATGATGAGACCTAATTGCCAATCAAGTAGTATGGTTAAATTCATGCAGTCAAGGCACCAAGGAGAAAAACTCACCAGAACAATTGCCATAAAAATATTTAAAAAAAAAACAAAAAAAAAACAGAGAGAATCCATTTCATGACAGTGAGAAAGTGACTGAAGTCGAGCATTGCTTTGAAGATGTACTCTAATTTTTCTCACTTATTGCTGATATATTGCTTTAAAGAAAAGAAACAATTCTGTAAATTGTGAAATATCCTTAGAAAAGAGAAAAAAATCTCACATTGCAATGTTATATGCATAAGTTAAAGTTTAGTTTAGCTTAGAAATGAAAAGAAATGGATTCATTTTGTAACTTGGAGGGAAAAAAATCTCCAAACAAATGGCCCACACATGTTGTTGGAAGTATATCATATGTCAGAAATATTATATATAAATATCTGATGTCTTAGAGTTCAAGAAGATTCAACAAGTGAAAACCCTCACAAGAAGAAAAATCTAAAATAAATGACAAATTCTGTCTCCATCCATGTGTCTGAAACCCTTCTAACAGACCACACTTGCTCTACATAGACATATTATACCTTTTTGGAATTAAGATGATCCCGGGATCGAAAAGCTTCCTTTCATCTGGTGCTTGAATATCCAGCATTGGGATTTGTGTCTGGATGAGGAGGGAACAGTTAAAAATTCAAATTTTAACATAACTGAAAAAAATTAGTCATTTTAAAAGTTTTTCATTTATATTGAGTTTCAAATAACGAAGATTTTGTGATTTTAAAAATGTTTGTTT